GCATTCAGATAGAGACCTCTGCCAAACACACAAAGATTCTCTCTCCCTCCCTCTCCCTCTCCCTCTCTCTCTCTCTCTCTCTCTCTCTCTCTCTCACACACACACACACACACACACACACACACACACACAAACCCTCTTAGAAGAGAGTCTATAAAATTTCCCACATATGGCAAACATATTTTAGGGGAAGCACCATGACTATAGGCCAGTGGGAGAGAAAGACAAAGAAAATAATGAGAAAAATCTTCAATACATCTAAACTGTTCAAGTCAGAATGCTAAGAATGAATGTAAAGGATGGGAGATGAACATTATTGGTAAAATCAGCATTATAACACAGTTAAATTCTTTCCCTACTGCACATCATTACCAGGACTTTTTCTGATCTAAAAGAATAGCACATGGGAACACTATCTTTATATTCTAGCAGTAAATACACTGTAAAATACACATGTAAATTTAAAAATACAAAAGAGTAATAAATGTAAAAATAATTTAACATAGAAGAGGGAGATCATATGTGGGATCTAAAAAAATCAAACTCATAGAAGCAGTAATAATAGGAAATAATATTTTTCTTTAACTCACAATTTAAAAAATTCTTCACTTTACTTACAAATAATTGTGTGTATATGTGTGTGGGATACAGACGTAATTAATGTAATTAACTGGCACTGACTTTCAAAACTTTAAGAATAATTATTTTTCAAATTCCTATCCTCTCTGTAACATATCTCATGATCAATTAAAGGCTTAAATGTACAACAAAATTCTCAATATAAGGAAACTGACAAAAACACTTTATAAAATGTGAATACGCGATCTCTGAGTTATCTGTCCTAAGAACTGATTTATCAAATTCTTCAAAACAAAACCAGAAAAAAATTTCTTCAACATCTGCTTTAAAGAATTATTGACGAAGGTAAGGCTGGGGATGCAGCTCGGTGGTACAGCACTTGCCTAAGGAATTATTGATGAAAGTGAAACTGATCATGTGGACACAAAATAAACTGATGATGAAAACACCTTCACGGTTTAGTGCAAGCAATGGTAGTCTAATGCTTTTTGAGACTTCACTGCTGAAAGCCTTTCTAGCTAAACAGATTAGATTTTTTGTGTGAGGGCATGAGAAAAGTACGCATGCATTTTTTTTTTTTTTTGGTACTGGGGATGGAACTCGGGACCTTGGGCTTGTGAGGCAGGCAGTGGAATGCATGCGTTTTTGATAGAAAGATAACTGCCACTCAGGGAATGGACTGCCATTCTGTAAGAGCAGGAGAGGAGAGAAGGCCAATTCAATTGTCCAGGCAAGAAATAATGCAGGCCCCCTTGAGGTTGGCTGGGCTCCCTATTGTCCGTCCACCAGCAGCTGCTGAGGCAAAGGCAGGGGCCAGGTTGGCAGGCAGGGGCAGAATAAGGTTCTCACCGCATGAGTGTTTCTCCCAAAAGTGATGCCTTAGGAGGAAAATAAAGAGTCCTGGATTGCTCAAGGCATGTAACTTCAGGTAGCCAGTTAAGAAGTTATATGCGTAAAGAGCATTTGTGAAATGCATGCTTCCACAGCCTGGGAAGTGCCATGTGGCATTCCCTGAGTCTAGAGAAGCCTGGCCCAGGTAAATGGTGGATCTGGTGGAGTAACAGTCATCTCTATACCTTTAATCACCAGTAAAAGAAAGATAACATCTGTGTCTGTTCTGATGATGAACAAAAAAGGCACACATATGAAAGGGCTGAGTAAAACTAATTTAAAAATATTAGTTTTCCAATAAATATGGCTTCCAACTCTTTTTATAAATCTAAAAATGGTGATTATTTTCTGTCCCCATTTTTGGAAATTTCATAAGTTGATCACTTCATATTATTTGAACTGATACTATAAAAAAGTCAAAAGATAACAAGTGTTGACAAAACATGGGAAAAAGGAACTCCTCTTTGCTGCTAGTGGGACTATAAATTAGTATAGTCATCATGGAAAATGGTATGGAGATTGCAAAGAAAATTAAAAATAGAAATACCACACAAACCCACCATGGGTATATATCCAAAGGATATAAAATCAGTATATCAAAGAGATGTTTGCACTCCCATGCTTACTGTAGCTTTACTCACAATAACCAAGATATGGAATCAGCCTATGTCAACCAACAGACGAATAGATAAAGAAAATGTGGCATAAATATGCACACACAATAGAATACTATAGAATACAGTCTTAAAAAAGAAGGAAATCCTATCATTTGTGACAACATGGATGAACTTGGAGGAAATTAAATTAAGTGAAATAAATGAGCCATAGAAATATCAATACCATATAGAGCACAGGTGGGATCTAACAAAAATTGAACTCACAGAAGCAAAGAGTAAAACAGTGGTTATTAAGGGAGGGTGGTGGGAAAATGGAGAGATGTTGGTCAAATGATACAAGATATAACATTACAGTTAGAAGGAGAGTTTGCAAAGTCTATTGCATACCACAGGACTATAGTCGACAACAATGTACAAAAAGAGTAGATTTTAAGTGTTCTCACCACAAAAATGTGAGGTAATCAATATGTTCATGAGCTTGATTCAGCCATTCTGCAATGCATACATAGACCAAAACATCATGTTGTGTCCATAAATATATATAAGTTTTATTTGTTAGCTAAAAAAGCAGGACATGGTCAAGACTAAGCATCTCTTGTAGTCAAAAAGACTGAGGAAGCCTTTCAGGCTGGTTTTATGGAAAAAAAAATATGAAATGTAGGCAAAATGAGCACTTCTGCTGGTGAACTATCAGAATTCCTGATAACACAGCTCAGTCAGGGGTGGCAGCAAAGGCAACTGCAAGGGAGCCTCAGCCTGGCACTGAGGCCACTGAGGAGGCAAGCACCTGCCGGTCACCACTGCGCTGCACTCTGTGACCTGTGGCCACAGCCTTCCCAGAATCAATGAGCTTGTGAGGCACCTGGGCACCATTCAAGTGGCCAGTGAGTTTCCTTATTCCTTATCTATGAGAGGGATATGCAAAGTCTTTCATATTGTGGGTCACTCTTCCATAACTGCTCTTTTGTACAACAGTGTACCATACAGAAGAAGAACATCAATTACTGAGTCTTAGATGCTTATAGAGGTCACTGCCAAAAACCCTTTACAAAGGAAAACACATCCATAATATGTTAACATTATAATATGGTAATTATTTCCGGAGGAGTAAGTTTAAGGTACAATGGTTGAATGTGACTATAAATGGGCTTTTAATTTTTACTTTAAAAAGCCATCTGGCAAGGGGTGACTTTGTGAAGATTGATATATTCAGTCTAAAAAATAAGAAAATATGTATTTGTGGTTAGGAATGCAATTTTTTTAGAAATAGCATCAAATAAGGATCAGGATAGAGTTTGTATCAAAACAGCTTAGATGGAATGAAGAAGATGTGCTTTGCAAAATGCATTAGGTGACTCAAAAGATGACTCTGATGATAACCAGCTTTTCCTGTCAGAGAGAATGCAAAGAGTTTGAATAAAACTATTTTGTGAAATATGAGAGATACACTCCTTTTAGAGAGAAAGTGAGAATACTTCTAAGGTAGGATGACTGAGACTGAGAGAACTGGAAACAACTAACCTGAAGAAGGCAAAACCTACAGGGTAGGATAGTACATATGAAACGTCTCCAGTATGTGAAGAGCAGATGTGCAGAAGAGTTGATTTGCTGTCTATTTTTAGAAAGCAGATGTTAAATGAATGGATGGAAATTATAGAGAGGTAGATGTTTGCTCCATGTAAGTACTTTACAGCAATTAGAGCTGTCCAAATTGAATTTGAAAAGTCATGTGTAAGTAAATTTTTCTTGACCAACTGTAAAAACAAAACAAAACAAAACAAAACCCTTGGGGTAAATTATCTTTATAGGCCTTTGAATGAGTATATTCTAGTATTTTATCAAAAATATCTACATGCTGGCAATGAGCTTAAATTGATAAACTTCATTTATTTTTGAAGATAACTCTTTTCACTTAGTGTGTGTATGTGCGTGTATGTGTAGTGCTGGAGATCAAATTCAGGGCATTGAGCACGCTAGGCAAACAGTCTACCTCTGAACTGCATCTCAACTCCATAACATATATTTTAACCACTTGCTTTGTATGAATCATTACATTAAGTTCTGTGGGTAAGAAACATATATTAAAATAATGATAGATGCTTATGATTAAGGAAAGTCATTCTTCTGCTACAGGTTAAAGTAAATATGTAGTGAGGGCACGATTCAGTTAGAATTTGTGTCTTATTTGCTAAGGTGTCTCTTAGTTGTCCTGTATCAGGGCCAGACTATTTGCCTGTCCAAGAATAAACTGACTCATTCATAGAGAAGGTATGAGTCAATATTTTGGCTTTGTTCTAAAGCCTTTCTTGGCTTGGCCACTAGACACTGGGATTTTGTTTTCCAATTTCCCAGCTTATTTTATCAAATCTTTTCAAAAACTATTATACAATGAATGAACAATGGGAATCATCCAAAAGGTCTTCCAAATACATACTCAATAAAGCAACACTGGAATTATATAAAACTACTGATCACTATATCTTATTCTTAACCAAAAAGATTAGTCAATAGCAAGAAGTCATCAGATTAAATGCAACCCAATATAGAAAAACAATTGCAAGTTTAGAATTATTGATGAGATGTAACTTTTCAATAGATGAAGAACTATAAATTTACTAATAGTGGAAAAATAGTTGAAAAATACTATTGAAATATGAAGATACCTAATGATATGAATACAGATAAGAGATTAAAATATGAAGATACCTAATGATATGAATACAGATAAGAGATTAAAATATGAAGATACCTAATGATATGAATACAGATAAGAGATTAAAGTGGAATAATCACATTCAATGAAGTCATGTTCAATTTTTAAAAGCCATGACAAAGAGCTGTGTGAACCACTGAAATTTTCCTTCAAATCATCTGAAAATGACAATTTTCTCAGTTGTAATTTGAGAAGCTAACCTGAGACTGTTGAAAAAGGATGCTTTTCTCTGGGTTTATGCCGCAGGCTAGGAGAGCAGCAGTCATGTCAAAGATGCTCTGCCGAAGGGCAGTGGGGTCTTGGGGGACAGTGAGGGAGTGGAGGTCAACAATGCTGTAAAGCACCATGTTGTACTTGTCCTGTAATTTCACCCAGCTCTCAATGGCTCCCAGGTAATTTCCCAGGTGGAGGATTCCTGTAGGCTGAATGCCAGAAAACACTCGCTTCGTGCTGTCTTTCTGGAAAAAAGGAAAACAAACATATTTGCTTTTGAGGCAGAATTCAGGGTCCCTATGTTCATGTTACCACAGCCATGATAGCTAATCCTATTTTTGCAAACTGCAATTTGATAGTCATCATTATCATGCATTTTTTGGCCTACTTTTTCCAAATCACTACTAAACACAGAAAATGACAATAAAAAATTGTTTTTGCACTCAAAATCTTCCATGCACAAAAGATACATAAGAAGGCTGCACTTATGAAAATAAAAGTAAAGATTCATGCGCCAACAGAATCATGACCAGTGTCAAAAGATGAAGTTTAGGGTACAGGCAGCAGTCCCCAGGAAGAAAAGATGATCCTGTAATTCTGGTGAAAAAATGATTCTGTAATTCTGGCAATCAATGAAAAAGGATTCCGACATAGAATCAGATTACATTAGACATCAAAAGAACCTCAAACGTTTTTCATGTGATTACACTTATTTTGCCATTAAGGAAATGAAGGCCATAGCATTAGGGATAAAGGTTACTTCTAGGTAGTTATGTTTTAAAAAAATAATTACTAATATTAATTTAAGGTACAGAGTCTTGAGCTCAAAATCAGGAAACATATCAGTGTGATAAAACGATACAGTGAATGCATACATTTTAAAAACATCACAGTAAAAGACACCTTGCCATGAATCCCCATCAAAATACCCTCTTCGCTTTGAACACATTTATTGCACCATTCTTGCTATTTCCTGAAGAGGATGTGGGGAATCCTCTTTTGTGAATGTCTTTAAGAAGTGTAAGTATTAAGAATGTCTTTAAGAAGTTTAAGAATGCTGCTGCTGAGTGCCATCCAAGGGAAAGGAAGACTTGCCAAAATCGTCAAAATGTGTCCTCATCCACATTATGCTCTGGATTTGGCACTGTGTGACTTCTGGCTCTTCTTAAAAGTCAAAATGATCATGAATAATAAACGTTTTGAACTGATTCAGAACATGGAGGTGGTCAGGAGAGTGCTATTAAAGACACTCATGAAATAGGACTTCCAGAACTGCTTCAGAAAGTAGCAAGAATGATAAGTGTGTTTGAAGGTAGAAGGAGTATTTTGAAGGGGATTAATGGCAATGTGTCTTTTACTGTAAAACTTTTTTTGAAAAATTTGAACACTCACTATATATTTTCTCTTTTTTTCCACTACCGGGAATTGAACTCAGGACCTTGCACTTGGGGACAGGCACGATGCCTCTGAGCTACATCCCCAGCCCCTCACCATATATTTTCATCATACCTCATACATTTTATTTTGAATACTATTTTTGATAATATTTAACTTTTCTATACTTCACTTCTATAATGTCCTTTAAATTTTGATAAAATCATACTTAGTTTTTCATTTCTTCAAAAGGAATCTTTAATTCTGTACAACTTTATAAGTTATAAAAGCAGTTTTTGTCATTTTCCTTTTGGATTATATTTTCTAGTACTGAAGTTATAATAGGAAAATAAGAAAAAATGCAATATCAGGTAAAAAGTGCTATTTTTCTCCCAAATGATTTAAAAATTCTACAGTAAAAGTATCAGTAAATGTGCTGAAACTTAAAAGTTCTGCAAAAATAAAATGCATCATCATTTTAACAATCATCACAGCAGAATATTAGTAACATTAGCCTTAACTGACTAGACAACTACTATGCTCCTAGTATTTATACTTAGGGCCTTATATATATTAGTATACTTAAACCTTACTATGCCCAATATGATAGGTGCATTATTATCTCCAATTCCCAGGTGAGAAAACTGAGGATCACAGATCTGAACAGATTGCCTGTGATCACACTGCTAGTAAATAGTGGAAGTGGGATTTCAAGACAAATGTCGCTGACTTCAAAAGCCATGTGTGCCCTCTTTATACCTACCATGTTTTGCTTAGCCATCATCTATTCAGAGTTTACATTTGGCATATTTCACAACTTGCAAAATAAAGTTACAGGGGAAATAAAGTACCAATCTTATATACATGCCTTTGTGTATTATGTGACAAATTTCTATAGTGTGTGTGTGTGCGTATATGTCATAAAGTATGTATGCATATCTTCAACTATACTACTATGTGGTGAACTATTCTTAAGTATGTAATGACATATCCTTTCTACTACCAGTTCCTGTAGCTGCACTTCCTTTTATTTGTAGCTACTGTGTTGGATCTGAGGTACAATCTAATGGTTTAATTTCATCTCTTTATTAAAGACATCTCATGATTATTGGCTCTTTTTACTTCTGTAAGAATATATTCAAGTTATTTTGCCTATTTTACTCAGATTGTATTGTCATTAATTGATTTAAGGATTTGCATATATTCTAGATACTAATATTTTGTCAGTTACATGTATAAGAAATATATTCTCTCATCCTTTGGCTGTTTGTCTTCTCTTTATGTTGCCCTGTGAGGAAGGGAAGTTCTTAATTTTACCAAATATATAATTTGGAAAACAAGAGTTTGATCTCATAGGAGAAATCCTTCAACATCAGGAGATCACAAAGATATGTACAATAAATATACACACATATACATATACAAACCATGTACATGTGTGCACATGCTTAAGTTTTGTCTTTCGTGTTTAAGTCTGTATCCAGGTGAAATTTTTGCATATGACCTGAGGTAGGCATTCAATCCCCACCACCCAGACACCTAATACGGATATCTCATTGTTCTAACACCATTTATTGAAAAGACTTTGGAAGGTCCTTGCTCCAGAATGTCATCTCTGCCATAAAAAGATTGCTGTATGAAGAATATGGTAAGGACCTCTTCTTTCAAATTTATCTCATTGGTCTATTGGTCTATATCTACAACAGAATCATACTGCTTTTTAATAAGTTCCAGGACCTGGTGGATTGAATCTTTTTCTCTTCTTTTCTTCCAGAGTATCTTACCCATCCTTGGCTCTTTATTCTTACCAATACATTTTGAAGTCATTTTGTTCATCTCAAGGAAAAAAAAAGAAACCTGTTGAAGTTTTTTTTTGACTGGGATTACACTGAGGCTTACAGATTGCTTTCATCAGAACCACCACCCTGGACCCCCCTTTCCAGGAAACCATATAGCATACTAAGGCTTTATCCTTATGTGTAACATTAGCTCCTGAGAGATAACCAACATTAAATATGTGAGTGCCAATGCTTAAAATTTCCCCTTCCCTTTCCTCAGGAACTCCAAAACATACAAATAACAGTTTGTTTTTCCTGCCTAGTCCTAAGATGACAGCTTTAAAATAGAATTCTTCATCACAGTTCCATGGTCTAGAATTGCACTTGATTCGAGCACTCAAGAGAACCAACAGATTTGTGGCTCTGAGGATAAGAAAAATACCATTTCAGTAACTGAGAACAAATATAAGCTAACCATTCAAAATCATAAATGCATACATACTTTCACTGTCTTCAAATGACTAACTCCTCAAATCATTCATTTATAAACAGTATTTCAAAAATAATTTCCAAACGAGAACTGAGGGGAAAGGGGGGGTGGAGGAAGGGGGAAGGAAAGAGAGAGGAAGAGGGAGAGGGAAAAAGAGAGAGAGAGAAAAAGGAATGAGAATGAGGGAGGCACAGAATGAGTACATATATTAGTGAGGCTTCCTCCAGTATCCAGGGACCGTAAGCAGTTCTGGGTTCCTGATATGGGAATAAGCAAAGGAATTTTCAGTACAGTAAAAAAATGATTAATGGGCTTTAGGGTTGATTGATGAAGAGAAAAAACAAAGCAGAAAAACAAACTCTGAACTTAATAAATGGAAGCGAAAAAAATTCCATACAGAAATACTTGACCCAGAAAGAGGGACTGCTTTGGGTAATGTAAAGGGTTATAAAGACTAGAAATACTAAGCTGAAAAAAAAACTACGAATATTTCTACATAAATTCCTCCATGGTCAAACTAAGAAATCATTCCCCAGGAGAAATAGAGGAAACAAATTCTTGAGAAAACTAGAAGAGAAAAGCACTAGAGGAGAGACTGTGGGAAAAAGAATTGTGACCAGTGGGAAGGGGTTAGACATGACCTAATACATCTTTTCCATTCTCTAGTTTCTGAGATTCTATACACTGGTGCAGAAGGAATGATATTATCATGAAATAAGAGCAACAAGAAATGTTTTGTTCAATTTTGAAGGAGTTATTAAAAAAAATACAGACTCTAAATGGGAGCTGGATTCCTAGTCTTAAAAATATACAGAGAGCATTCTGCTCTTCTAGGGTGAGTTTATGTTCCTGTCTGTTCCCCCTGCAAGAGCCAGCAGGCGGCCTGGCGGCATGGCAGGGGAGATATGCCTGGTACCATGAGATCACACCGTTGGAATGCAGAGCTTAGGCGGTGGGAGGATGGGGGTTCTGTGTTCAAAAGCACTAGAGTTGGAGAAGAATGAAAATGAAAGAAGCATGGGCGGGAGGCAGACCACAAAGAAAATAGCTTCAGGACTGGGCCATAGGCATAATACTCACTGGTGGGGAAGGAGGGTGAGTGGAAAGAGGGTGGCCTTTACAAACCAGGTCTTCATCTTTACTTCAAGCGTATTTCCTTAACTAACACACTTCCCACCAGTGCGTGTTTGGGTTCAGTTTTGAACTAGCCCTGCTAACAGTCCTGGGACTTGATATTATCACCCAGAAGAGAGGATAAGTGCTTGAATCAAAGGTAGAAGAGATTTATCAATTCAAAACAGAACCAAAACTCTTCCTGTGTAAGGTACTGCACATATCCAAAATTTACACTTTTTAAATATTAAATGACTATACTCAAAAGCAATTGAAAAACTATTAATACGGCAAAAGAAAATGTGATCCCCTCAAGACAGCTTCTGTCTTTAACCCCCAAAACCAAATAACATACATAGAAAGAAGGCTGTCTTTTAGCTGTTGAAACACTTTCAACTTCAACACAGTGGTGAAAAACAAAGGCCTCAACCAAAGGTGTCTGTCCTCTTACAAAGTCCTGCTGTACCCAACCGTAACAGCAATTGACCAA